ACAGACCCAAGCAATGGCGCGGACGTGTGTGCCGCCGCGCACACTCCCCTGCACACACATGATCGCTCACACGCACGTGCTCCCAGACACGCGAGCTTCCCGCAGCTCCCAGGGCAGAGAGAAGGAAAGGGTCCCACCGAGTGGGGCCGAAATAAATACTCGCTAGGGCCTTCCTCGGAACCTCCGAAGCTGCGGCGGGGCCTTAGAAGAAGTCGCAGTTGGGGTCCTTCACCCTGGACCCCATTTTACAGGGGTGGGGATTGGGCCTCCTAAAGCCGCTGTGCCCGGGTCCCGCCCCAGGGCTGGAGTTAACGTCCCTGGCAAGACGCTGCCCGCCCTGTCCTAGTCTCGTGAACCTGCCTGGAGATGCGAAAGCAGCACGTTGTGTTTTATTCTGTAGAAAAGGAACGTCTTGGTGCAATGGACCCAGTGACTCCTGAGGCCTTTCCAGTTCTGATTTAGGAGGAAAGAACCGGACCCAGAGACCATAAAAGGAGTTGGTGGGAGATGAGAAAAAACCTCCGGTGCCTGGTTTGAACTCAGCCACAGGCTCTTCCTGGTTCAAATGTCCCTTTGTTTATTTGTGCTGCTGCCTGCTGTTGGGCGTCAGGGGAGGCAAAGCCTGAACCAGTGGGGCCCCTGGGGTGGGGAAGGGATGTAGAATAGGACAGACTTTGGGGGCCTAGAGCCAGCCTCTGGGAGCAGAGGAGACCCCAGGCTCTCTGAGTTGGGGTGGCAGGTAGGGGTTCCTGAAGGCCAGAGGGCAATGAAGCAGGAACCCATGACTTCAAAAAGGTTCAAGTTCAAGAAGTCACCACCTTTATGGGGCCTGGCTGTTGGAGTTGTGAGAATAGAGTTGTGGTTGAGGTTCTGGCCACCACTTAGAATACAGGATCAACATAGTAGGGACACCAGTGAGACGACAGGGTCAAATGAACTGACATCAGCTTGTGGTCCCTTGGGGAACTGAGGTTGTAATCACATGACCTGGCCCTGCCTCTCTTAGCTTCCTGGTTTGGGGGAATCTTTGGGCCTCAAGTTCCTCATCTGTAAAATGGATACAAGAGTTCCTCCTCCACAGGGGTATTTTGGGGATTGAAAATGGATATAAGGCCCCCTTCTATCCCACCTTCTCTTCTCAAAGTCCCTGGTCACTAGGGCTCCTTCCAAGTCCATTTCCTGTGAGCAGGTGGGGTCCAGTGGGATGAAGGCTGGGGAGCAGCGCCCCCTTGTGGTGGATATCAGGAGGGCCGGGTCAATTGAGGAAGACACGCATGGGCTAACCTGGTTAGTGCCTAATGGCGTCTGACAAGTTGGAACCTCCAGGGGCTGGTCGTGGGGCTGCACTGAGGGAGACCTTTACTTCTGACTCAGTTACCCCCTCGAACAAGCAGGGAGCATGCTGCTTCCCCACAGCAGCCTCTCCTCTCACAACCCAGCTTCTCCAGCTTTAAAAGGTTTCTCTCAATTCGGCCCCCGGAGGAATCCATGCACTTGGCATTTACACTGTGCTTTATAGCTTACAAGCACGTTGACACATTACTTGTCCCTGAGGTGTACTGTTTTTGGGTGGTGATGGCACTAGATGGATAGAGATCGTGGTTTACAGCATGGCTCCAGCACAGTTTGGATCCTGCTTCCTCCATCCAGCTTCGTAACCAGGACAACATTCAAAATACTGAATAACCAGAGAACTGGCAGCGACCAATCAGAACAGATCCTGCCACAAACACCAGGAAGGGGGGGGGGGCGCGCAAATGCTTGTGTAGCTATGGAATATTCTGGAATAACCCCAACCTCACTGGGTCTCAGTTTCTTCATCTGCAATTTGGGCACGGTGACTGTAATAGTACCGCTTTTTAGGGCTGTGGTGAAGACTAAATTAGCTAATGTATGTAAAAGATTGAGAAACCCTAAAAAACACCTAATAAGAGTTACCTGTCCTGTGTCCTCTCAAACTCAGTGACTCAGGGTGATTGCTACTTTTTAGGGAGACTCCCCAAGTAAGTCCAGTGTGTGTGCTTGGGCTCACCTCCTGCCTGCCACTCCTGCTTGTCTGGCCCTCCAGTTATTCTGCTCTCTAGAAGTGCTCGAACTTTACCATTCATCTGAATTTCTGGGGGATCTTGTTAAATTGCAGGTTCTGATTGAGTAGGTCTGAGTGGGGCCTGGGATTCTACATTTCCTACAAGCTCCCAGGTGGTGCTGATGCTGGTCTGAGAAGCAAGACTCCCAAAGAGTATTGCAGAAACAGAATTGTCAGATAATTGATCTGTAAACATTTATTGAGGACTTACTCAGTGCAAGGATCAAAACAGTCTGAAGGATGGCTTCCAACCTCAAGCAGCAGGGTCATTGCACAAACACAGGTTAAAACTAAAAATCAGCCAAAACCGGTTTGGCTCAGTGGATAGAGCGTCGGCCTGCGGACTGAAAGGTCCCAGGTTCGATTCCGGTCAAGGGCATGTACCTGGGTTGCGGGCACATCCCCAGTAGGAGGTGTGCAGGAGGCAGCTGATCGATGTTTCTAACTATCTCTCTCCCTTCCTCTCTGTAAAAAATCAATAATATATAATTAAAAAGAAAAACAAAAACTAAAAATCAGGCCAAGGGGCAAACATGTGCCAACAGTAGGTAGTGAATCCATTCTCTGCCCAGTAGCCAAAGTGATGCTCTAAACAAGTAAAGATTTCATAACTGCCCTGCTAACAGCTGTCCAATGGCTCCCATCTCACTCAGAATAAGAGGCGAATTCTCTTGGATTCTTCAGGCCGTGAATCATCTTGTCTTGCTTCTGACCTCATCTCCCGTCACTCAGCTTCATTCTAGACTCACCTTTTGTTCCCTTGAACCCAATACCCCACTTCTTCCTGAGATCCTTTGAATTTGCCTGGTTAATGCTTGTCCTTCAAACTGGTGAGCACCTGGCCTCTTATTCAGCCTCTAATTGCTTCCCAGAAAGATCTTCATTGACCTAAAGGAAGTATGGTCTAAAGTAGCTGCCCCCAGTCCAGGTCAGATATTCTCTATTATATCGTTGTTTTTAAAAAAGAAATTCGATGTTATGGCATTATATTGTTGGTTGTTTTTAAAAAAATATTTTTTTTATTGACTTCAGAGAGGAAAGGAGAGGGAGGGAGAGATAGAAACAGCAATGATAAGAGAGAATCATTGAAGAAAGAGAAGAAGAAAAAATAATCATTGATCGGCCGCCTCCTGCACACCCCCTACTGGGGATCGAGCCCTCAACCCAGGCATGTGCCCTTGGCTGGGATTGAACCCGGGACCCTTCAGTCTGCAGACTGATGTGTTATCCATTGAGCCAAACCAGCTAGGACTGTTGGTTGCTTTTTTTTTTTTTTATGTTTTTATTGCTTTTAGAGAGAGAAAGGGAGAGGGAAAGAGAGATAGAAACATTGAGTGGCTGCCTTCTGCATGCGTATCATTTTTTAAAAAAAGAAATTCAATGTTATGGCATTATATTGTTGGGTTTTTAAAAAAAATATTTTTTTAATGACTTCAGAGAGGAATGGTGAGGGAGGGAGAGATAGAAACATCAATGATAAGAGAGAATATCGTTGTTTTTAAAAAAGAAATTCGATGTTATGGCATTATATTGTTGGTTGTTTTTAAAAAAATATTTTTTTTATTGACTTCAGAGAGGAAAGGAGAGGGAGGGAGAGATAGAAACAGCAATGATAAGAGAGAATCATTGAAGAAAGAGAAGAAGAAAAAATAATCATTGATCGGCCGCCTCCTGCACACCCCCTACTGGGGATCGAGCCCTCAACCCAGGCATGTGCCCTTGGCTGGGATCGAACCCAGGACCCTTCAGTCTGCAGACTGATGTGTTATCCACTGAGCCAAACCAGCTAGGACTGTTGGTTGCTTTTTTTTTTTTTTTTTTTAAATTTTTTTTTTTTTTAGAGAGAGAACGGAAGAGGGAAAGAGAGATAGAAACATTGAGTGGCTGCCTTCTGCATGCCCCCTACTGAGATGAAGCCCAAAACCCAGGCATGTGCCCCTACCCGGAGATCTCTTGCTGCCTCGGGATGGTGTATTTTTTTTGGGGGGGGGGATGGTGTATTTTTTAAAAAATAGCCCTAGCTGGTCTGGCTCAGTGGCTAGAGTATCAGCCTGTGGACT